GGTGCTGCTGTGAACGGAATCACCAGAGGAAAAGTCTTTTTTCAGTGACCTACTACTGATGGAGAAAGCGAAGCAGACATACAGGGAGAGAGACGGTAAAGCCGCTTTTCCACTGCACAGTACCAGCTCGCCTCGCCTCGCCTCTCCTCTACTCAGCTTTTTTTGGTTTTCCATTGTGTAAAAGTTGTACTTGTATCTGCTACCAGGTACCTTTTTTCGTATCACCTCCGTATTATCTGTCTTTACATTCTGAGTAATGTTGAAACGTTTTAACTTAAATCAAGAGACAGCTGTATGTGGATCGCTGGTGTGTGTCGCATTGAACATTATGTCACGGCAGTTGTGTGTTGCGTCGCTATGACAACCAGCCACATTGAGGGGTGCTATCTACAAAGGAAAATGGAGCATGGCCAAACCGAGTCGAGGCTGCTGTTTGCAGCAGAGGTACGTTAGGTCTGTGAGTGTGAAGAGAACTGAAAGAGGCGAATTCAATAAGTGAGTGATACTTAAGATGGAGAATGAAGTATAATTAAAACGGTGAAATAAGAAACAAGCTAAATTACTAAAAATAGGAAAAACATGCCAGCTAGAACCGTGGGTTCTCTCCAGGTGCTCTGGCTTCTTCCCACCATCCAAAGACATGCGGACTAGGTTAATTTGGTGGCTCTAAATTGTCCTTAGGCATGAATGTTAGTGGTGGTGTGTCTGTGGGTGCTTCTCAAGTCTCTTATTTATCATTTCCTCGATCCTCGCTTGAACCCTAAGTTGTTCCGCTCCGCCATCTTGCAGGCTGTCACAAAGCTCTTATTTGCGCTCCATGGAGTGAGGATCGATCTCTGAGGAGCTATGAGCGAGGATACACCAGTGCGTCCTTTGCGGAAGTCTTTTAATGACCGACACCCCCCTTACTGGGTAGCCGTTATATTGATTGGACGCTGCAGCTGATCGGACTGATCTGATGCATCAGGACAGATTACATTAAACTCAAGTGTATCGCTGCAAAGTCTTACATTTGAGTTATTTTATGATTCACTCTTGTTAAAATCTGTGTTCATTGTATGCTGAACAACAAAAGCCCCACACACAACTTTATTTATTTATTAGAAAGATCTTTCTTTCTTTTATTTCTCCTGTAGCATGGCTAAAACTTAGCTATGAATTTTACGAAATTTATGAGAATTAATACCCAGTTATGAATTTTAATATTCAGAAAATATCAAAAATCCATAAAAGCTCTCGTTACAAAGGGCACCACCGGAGTTGTTATTATCCTAGAGTCTCCGGACCTCTAGGTAGCTTTTAATAATTACACAATTATTACTAGTGATCCGTTAGTTAATAATCGCTAAATTATCTTAAATCAATCAGTCAGTCTCATATCTAAAGGGTCAATTCTCTTGGCAGGGACGTGGAGACACAACACACACAGTTCTTGATTACAGTGAATTTATTAACTAACTAAAGCGATATAAAAGGGTGGTTAAATACAGGGAAAATAAGCAACGGCTGAACAATGAGAAATGGAGATTCGATTGTGGGAAGCATTTGACTCATACGGTAGAGGAGAACTAATGAAAGTAAGCTATGAGTTTAGGAGTTAAAAGGAATATATTAACATTACGGGACATCCCTGACCATAGAATGTTTGTTGGGTCTTACTGCTTGTGTTTCTTCCGCCGGGTTGCCGGGAAACGGCCTCACACTGGCAGAGTCCGTGCGTTCTCGGTTAGGACAACTTAAAGCTGTCGGCCAGTCGCTTTCTCTGCCAGGGAATTTCTCCGGGGTCCGTCTCTGGAAGGCTTATGGAAGAAACTTGCAGTGGGGGCCTTCCCGATCCCGTCTCGGGTCAGGTTTAAGTCGTCCTTGGTGGTTGCTGGCGAGCCACGTGGCCGACCTCCGTGGGCTTAGCTCGACGAAAAAGCTTAAAAGGGGAACTTGGTCGTTCCTGAATTAGACCAGTGTAACTTAATGGACTGATAACTTTAACAAAACAAAAGAGAGAAAGAAAATAAAACAAAATAAAGTCGCTGTTAAACGAGGGACAAATCGATGTCGCGGCACTCCGCGTGTGTAGCTTCAAGGGAACAAAGGCCTGTTGCGCTGGTCGAATTCTTAGGGCGTTGCCTGGAGAGGCACGCTGGACGCGTGCCGAAGCGTCCAGAGAGCAGAGCGGAAGACAAGAGCACGAGGAGAAGAGAAGCCAAGTAGAGAGTTTCAGGTTTCCCGAGGGACTGCCTTTCTAAACTTTAATGTCTAAAAGAAAAGAAATCTATTTGCGGGTATTATAATCAAATATTTTCCACAATCAAACCTCAATGGTAAACAGTTGTACCGTTCTAAGTTAAGCATTTGGTAACAGGAAAACAATTATTGGTCAGGATAAGTGGGTGACATTTATACATTAACGGCATTTCCGACGATGGTGTGTAATACTTATTTCGTCCACTTGGGGGATCTCAGGTTACATGGGAAAAGCTTAGATTAACCCAAAACAATCTTTCCTTAGGAAATGGGGAATTCAGCCTTAAATTCAAGCTGGATAATTAGTATATTAGAGTATAGTATGACATTTATTTATCATCATTTCTAAAGGAATTGTGTGAGAAAGTATTGTGAACAAGCATTGGTTACACATTAAATGAAGGAGTGTCCTTAATCTTGCTGAAAATAACAACACTGCCAAAGTAACTTATTTAGAATCTTTTCAGCACTAATATCAACAACAGATAGCAACAACATGGTAACATAACTACTCAAATAGAGGCAAACGTAATCAAGTAACTAAAAGATTTAAATAGTTAAGGCTTTGGGGTCTTTGGAGACTGCAGTCTTTGTTTATTTAAAGTTTGGCTGTCCTGGATAATGTCACACTTAGGCGTAAAAGGGGGTATCCCTTTGATGGGGTAATGAAACACAGAGCAAGGTCAGTTGCAGTGTGTGTGGGGGGGGGCAGTTTAGCATTTCCTGCCTTTCCGATAGGCTGTTTGTAATCTCTGGTTAATTTCGGTCAGGCTGGTCAGGGATAGCACTTAAGAGAAAGCAACCTTCCGTTGGGGTCTCTTCAGCAGTCTGTTGAAAGTTGATCTTTAACCCCCCTGCTCCTCTCTGGGAGAGGAAAAGAGGAATTTGGAGTAGCTCCAAATTTATTTAATATAAAATGCACAAATCCACACCGTTGTCCCACTACACTCCCATCAACTTTTATTATGGAGACAAAGTCAGAGAGTCTGTCAGCAAGAAACATGTTAATATAATTTATAATTTATCGTCATTCCTATTCAGTCACATGTCAGGCTGGTCATTCCTCTGTTTAGTCCAAACAGAGATAAAACACAGTACACTTAAGGAGTCGGACAAGTCACTAAACTTCACCAAAGCATCTGATGAAAACAGCCGGCAGCTCCGCAAGTAAAATCAGCTGATGAAAGTATGAAAAGCGCTGCTGCTGCGCTAAAAAAAACGTTGGATTGTTATGATGGAACACAGTGATTGATTGGTGACGAGTGATGTGACTTTAAAATATCCATGAAAATATCCTGGGTTATTCAATAACGAATTTACAATCAGAATCAATAAATATAAATGCAGATAATATAAGCATTGTGCCAGTAGAAATTATCCTGTGCCTCTGAGCAAGACATACAGTAACCTATAATTCTTCATGTGCAGGTCTTTGTTAAACAGGTACTTGAGAATCATGCTGCACTGCACTGATAACTGAGACTACCAACAAAGTACACATGTATGTAGACACAAACTCCATCAAAAGTCTCTCCAGCTGTTAGAGCCGACTGACAGCTGATCGATCTATGATCAGCTGCCGCTGTCATCAGAAACGGATGTCTCATGTCTCTAAAAACATATTCTCTTGTTCCTTCTCTCCTGGTTTGATTTCCTAGCATCTCTCCATGCATCCCCTGTGGGCGGGATTAAGACACAAGGAAAAGACGCAAGTGAGGGAAACGTGGATGCAATTAAGAGAAGCACTCTACGTGTGGCCCTGCAATGGACTAGCGACCTGTCAAGTGTGTACCCCGCTTTTCGCCTGATGTCAGCTGGGATTGGCTCCAGCCCCCCGTGACCCTGTTCGCATGACAAGCGGTTGACGATGGATGGATGGACATTGTGTATTGAAGGCTTCGTTTTAGCTAAGGAGTGATAAATCTAGTCTCTAAATGATCTTTGTTGGGAGTTGCACATGCACAGTTCCTAGTTAAGGACTACTAGCCAATCAGAAGCAGAGAAGGGCGGGTCAGCGAGAAGTCGGTCAATGGCTTTGATTCAGCTCTACATGTTGCCGACCAGCTTGGCAACATAGACTGGAGCAAGTTTCAGAATGGTGAGTTATTAATCAGTAACAAAAGTATCTTTAATCCATAAAGTTTTATCTGAGCTCTGTCTCTACATCACAGTAACAACTTTATGTCCATTGACTGCCTGAAGGGTAGCAAGTGTTTGGAAGGGAGAGGAGAGGTGTGTGCTGCAGCTCAGTGTTTTTCCAGTGTTTTTGAGGGCGTGTCGGACTAGCCGCTTGGCGCAAACATGATTTTTACTCAGTAAAGGCTGTGACTGAAAATGTAGCGAAGTAAAATACTTTAAAGAAAACATACTTAACTAAAAGTAAAATTATAGATTCTAAAAATGACTTAAAAAAGTACAATTACACAAAAAACTACTCAATTACAGTAACGTGAGTAAACGTAATTCCTTTCCGTGTGTGTGTGTGTGTGTGTGTGTGTGTATGTGTGTATACATACACTCTGAGTTGTTTGCATTTGGTCTTTGATGTTGCACTTGTGTCATGTGGTTCAATGGTTAAGGTTATAATTCATTGACACCTAGACTAAATCAAGTTTTTAAAACTAAACATGGCAAGGCATAGACTTGACCTTTGTCACATCTTATGTTTGTAGAAGGTTTGTGTCCAAGAAGAAAAAGATTTGCTCTTCTTAGTCCAGGACAAGTGTCCTGCAAACAAATGTTCAAAATGCCACCTTTAAGGACTGCTTTTAAAATTTTGGGATTTAAAGTACCAATAGAAAAACTTAATTGTCATGGAAATATGTTAGGTCAACCAACTGAAAAAATCATCTTGTCATAGTCAAATACCCAAAGGCAAACACTTGTCATGTTCTGTGTATGTCCTCGCAAGTGCCTCTTTTGCTTTACTTGTGCTCTCTCTCTGTTTTCTGTTCCCTACTCGACTTTCCAGATGGCAATCTTGCCATCGCGGCGTGCAGAGCCACTCAGGACGTAGCGATCCTCAGCCGAGCAGAGCGTCTGGATGCTGTCTGAATGAGCCTGCAGCTCCTTTGCCACAGTGTGGCTCTCTGGGTCCATCACCAACAACTGACTTCTGAGCTGAACGTCACACTGGCCTCCAACACAGCTCCGACCAGAACAGCCCACCCAGATCTGAGGGGAAGAGAGGGCATCATGGAAAGGTAGCAGTAGATAAGTGATTATTGAAGTTAACAACAAGTTAGAACTCGTGTGTCATATCTCACCTGGTCCTTGACTTGAATCATACAGGTGACTCCTGAACTGCCTGGCAGGGAGATTCTCTTGAATGGACATCTATGGTTATTAGTGTGCCAGAGATACAGCTCCCCTGAGTCTGCACAGCTCGTCCACAACTGACCTCGCTGGAACAAACACACAACAACTGGTAAGTCACATGTATACTTTTGGCATGGACAAACATTTTGATAACATCAATCACAGACAAAAAGCATTTTCTGTGGCCAGCGAGTTTTTAAGGCATACCAACATCTTTGACAGCCAAAGAAAATATAAAAGTTGTTATAATAGTTGTATTTGCATATGAAGTGTTGATCAAAAGTATCGGTAAATATCTATCTACAAATCTCTTAGTTTCAGTGGTTGCCGCGACTCCTTGTTCCAACTACATTATAATTGTCTAGATGCCAAGCTCATGGGAGTATTTTTTTTTCTATGAAGTGTTTAATGTGTTGCTGCTGGGTGTCTCATTTACTAACTGACTGACAGGCTTGACTTGCTGATGGGACTGAAGACTGGACAGACTGAATAACTGACTTGCTAAACCATTAAATGGCTGCTAATTTGTTTAACTGATAGACCTATTCACTGAGGATCGCAAAGTTACCTCTGGGATGACGACAAAGCTGCTGAAGCTACTGGGCCTACTCCGTAGATCATCAGGAAGCTCCATCCTTCTTTGTGGGGTCCCGTTCTTCTTCAGTTCCACAATGCTGTCACCACAACCTGCACATGCACAGACACTTTTGTTCAACAAAACACTGTCTTCTTTGCTGGTAAGGTGCATTTAGAAGCAATTTGTAGACACTGTTCAGGCATGTTAAGAGAGGGATACTGGAGTTAGTTACGTGAAATTTGCAAAAAACTGTTTAACAGTAGAAAGCGAAGGTACATGTGTGCACTTACAGCACCACAGTGTGCCATCATGGATCTGTATGGAGGACAGACGGTCACAGGTGAGGTGGAACTGTCGCTTCACTTTGAGACCGGCAGAGTCCCACTGCAGAATCATCCCGTCACAGCTGCAGGAGAATGTCTGCTGACTGGGAAAGACAGTTTGAAAAGACAGATTAAACATACGTGTGCTGCAACACGTGCATTTACATATTTAGACTGACCTTTATAAGACTGCTTCAAATTGTTTAATGTGATAAAACTGACAACTGAATGTGAGAAAATCCTGTCTCCACCTGTTGTGCTTATCCCTTGTGTCCACTGTGAGTCCAGTAACTTCATGTCTGTGTTCAGTCAGCTGTTTGTTGCAGGACATGCTTTGAGTGTCAATGATGTAGATTACGGAGTCCTGAGAGCCAATCCACACCTGCTGCTGGACCAATCCCAGCATGCAGTTCTACACAGAAGAACATGTGGCATGGAATGTCAGTTTCACTTCCTTCAGAAAACGGTCAGCTAATAGACTTAAAATTTTATAACTAAGCAAAAAAAGAAAGGTTCTCCCATTTTCAACTTCTTTTATTTTACAGCAGACTCAACATGTGTAAATATTTGTACAAACATAAAAAGATTAAAGATTAAAGATCACAGACATGTGACTAACAGAAATTGAAAAATGGGTCCCTGAACAAGCGAGGTCAAAATCAAAGTAACAGTCAGTATCTGGAGTGGCGAACCGGCTGCATAAAGTACTGCAGTGCATCTATTCCTCAACTGCACCAGATTGTTTCCATTAACTATGGAGGTTACAATAATTTCTTAAGCAAAATTGTAACACACAGCTGCTCAAAAGAGATCTAAATAACTTAACTATGTTAAGTTCAAACATTAAACTTAGTTTCATCAAAACATTGCGTGTAATACAACTGAATTACTGTTGCTGTGTGGAATTTGAAAGTCTTTTACTTTCCAGCCTCCAGTGGTAACACAAATAAAGAGTATGTGGCAGATTTGACCTGAGGATAAGATCTGTCTCTTTTTTTCTACAAACAAAAACTTGTGCTTTCAGAATAACGGTAGTAAGTACCATATATTGACAAACATTCTACACATAGTTGGCTTTACTATATAAAGTTTAAATACACTAAGATTAAATGACCGAATTAGCAAAAAGTTTTCAGATCGATGCAGCAGAACCAGAGATATTGTTATGTTATCCCACACATTCTTCTTACTTCTCTGCTGCCTACATTACCCACAGTACTTTTTTTAATTTTTTTTTTACATATGCAGCAGTACTCCCCAAAGCCCATGAACAGACTTAAGGGGTAAAATGGGTTATTTTTTAAATAAATGTTACTCCAACACTAGAGTACAGCAGGTCTGCTCTCACCAGCTGCGACTGTCCGACCTGGATGCAGTCCTGCAGCATGGACCAGCTAGCTGCATCAAACACAACCACTTTTCCCCCACTGAGAGCCACCCACAGTTTCGGGTTCACCTCACCCTGTAGGTCATTGCAAGTCAATTGACCTGGAGAAATTGAATAAGAGACAAAGGATGAGAGAGGAGTGGACCAGTGAATTGTGAGCTAAAGCTTACAGAAAATGTGCGGCACATGATAACCTCTCTGCTCAGACACACTGACCCCGTCTGACACTACGATTACCATTAAACGCATAAACTGATTATCACTACAGAGAAACTTCTTTGATGCTCTGAACTGTAAAAGGGAGATAGGCCTATACTGTATGAAACTTGGGCAATACAATAATGAACAAATAATTACACACTGTAGTTAGCTCAACATAGTACCTGGTGTGTATAGCAGCACATGTACAGTCTGAGGTTCAGCCAGATCCAGTGATGGGTTGATCTTGTGTTTTAGAGTCTCTGAGGTAGTTTTAGGCATCATCATGGGCACTGGTCAAAGACAATCACAGTGAATGAATGAAGATAAAAGAGAAGGTGAGAGAAGATAAAGAGCGACACAGGAGAGAGTGAGAAAGAAATAAAGAATTCAGAGCTAAAACATTAGGTTGAATAATCAATTAGCTGTACAGCAGAAAATGATCAACTATTTTGATAATCAATCAATTATTTAGCACTATTTTCTGCCATTATATAGACCTAATGATTCATTCAATAAGTAAAATAAAAAAATAAGAAGCAAAAAAGCAGCACAAAGGTGAGTCTAGACCTTCATGTTTGATCTTGTCAAAGTAGGCCAGTTTTGAGGCAGCAGTGATGGACTTCGGGGTCTGCAGGCAGCCCATGACAGTGTCCATCAACAGGACATTAGTCAGAGCCTGAGTCATGTACTGAGGGTCCTAAAGAGACAATCAATATACCGTATGTTAAAAAACTAGAAGAGTAATAGTGAGGTCACACTTACACCAGTCTGCAAATATTCACTCCATCATTCACTGTAACTGAAGCCTATGTAATTAATACATTCTAAATCACATTTCCTGTTGTGGTGTAAGCTCTGATTGGCTCTGGGAAAGTTCACCATTGTTCAAATCTGACCTGTGAATGTCAACAGTGGGCCCATGGAAACACATCCTTTTTGTTGGACTGAATGCAAATGTAGCCAGGCAAGGCCAGCCATATTTTAGGAGTTCTTTGCAGACTTACCTTGTGCTGGTCAGCCATCTTGCGTCCGGCCCACATCTCTTTCACCACAAGGTTCCAGAGTTCAGTCTCTGTCTTCAGGTTGGCCTCAAACACCTCAGGCCTGCTGGAGGTCTGGATACGAAGGGAAGGAATACGAACGAGCAGAAAGGGAGCTGAGGCAATCTTCACCCCCTGCACAGAGATGGCAGGTTTATTTATTGAAATAAGAGTGCATGTTAATGAACTAATATTCCAAAGAAAACATGATTTAGAGAAAAGGGATTAAGAACACTTGACCTGTATGTCTCTGAACTTTGTGATTTCCAGGAAGCCCGGTCGTCCCTCTGTAAGTAAGAACAGACGCTTCTGCGTCATGGCAATTTTACCGACGCCATGGGAGGTCTTGACACACGACGACAACTTGTAGACAAACTCGCTGTTGTCAAGATGGCCTATGACCCCGGAGGGCAAGTTGATGTCTTGTGCCTCGGCCTCTGTGTCCTTCCATAAGGTGTAGAATACTCTGAAGAGTTCAGGGTCCACCTGCTTTAGCTGGCCTGGGAGCAAGAGAGAGAGGTATGCAACCAGGTGCAAGCAAGCACACGGGGGGGACACGACATGTACACTGACTCACTTACACAATAGATCAACTTATCAAGTTCCACATTTAACACCTCATATCTCTGAATAGTGCATATTATACTTCTTATGTTATATGTTACTAAATGACCGTCTGAAATGGCAATTACAAGCCATTCTATTTGTTGTTCAGTCCTGTTACAGTACTGTTCCATCTAGTCATGCATGAATGCCTTTCACATGTGATCAAAATCTAAACAAAGATGAGGAAAACCATGTTGAGAAAAACAACATGGTTTTCCTCTGAAGTCTGAATCCATTTCATGACCCTTGTCACATGAGATTTCCCTTTTTCTTTGTTTCTCTAATGTTTTCAGTTGCTCTACAACGAGACTTCACGAGCTTCCATTTCCTTTGACTTACTTATTAGACTTACTAACTAGAAATCGGTAATGCTTCATTTCTGTCCAAAGAGCAATAAAGCGCCTTGTCTTTTCTTTGTGGCTTATTTACACATTCAACAGATGTGGATTCTCGTAAATGGCATTACAAGCAGCAGGAGGAGCCAGAGGAACTTGACATTTTATTTTTTTATGGATTATCTGACTTATGTATTACTGTCAGGATATAGTGACAGTTTTAGCAAATATGGCAAAAAGTTATTTTAAAAAGAATTCCCTACTGCAGCTTTAAACAGCTGCCTGGTATATTTGACATCAACACTGATGAGAGTGAACCAAAACAGCTATGAATTGTAAAACCAAAACAATGGGCTGAAATAAGTGTCCTTTCCATTACAATTGTGTGCCTTTCCCTCCTCATGGCCTAAGAGCAGTGTCGTGACAGTAAATATATTATGTATCTTCTCTCTTCACTCAGGTTGGACACTTGTTTTGCATTTACTTGAGGCAGGTTTAATTTGACAAATTATGTGGGTGGCTGTGGCTCAGGGGATAGGGCGGTCATCCATCAGAAGATCCCAGTGGTTTGATCTGCGGCTCCCCCAGTCTGCATGTCGAAGTATCCTTGGGCAAGATACTGAACCCTAAATTGCTCCCATTGGCATAGCCATCAGTCTATGAATGTGTGTGAATGGGGTGAATGTGATGTATGTGATGTAGTGTAAAAAGCGTTTTGAGTGGTTGGAAAGACTAGAAGGAATTACAGACCACTTACCATTACTGTGTGTGTGTGAGCAAAAGAGAATGTGCTCTTCAGACTGTACTTTCCACTTACAGAGCATTAAAAGAGCGTAACAGATCATCTGCTGCTTGATTCCATTATGTCAGCAACAAGTGATGAAATTGATTTTAAAATTCTTTCGTGTAATGGTGGAGAAGATAATTACTACTGTTATGTGTGCTCACTGTGATATCTCAGAGCACATCTAATCAAAAGGATTCTGAAAAATGCCTAAGAAACAAAATGCCTTTAACATTTAGCAATCTTTCTTCATCTATTTTATAAGTTATTATGATTTAACACAACTGTTGATTCATTTTTAGCACTCTGTCTTGTCTCAAACTGCTGGTCCCATATTACGGCGTTTGTAAATCTAAGGTTTGGTATTGCATGGTTCTATAAAATTCCTAAAAAATATCAAAAGTGATCTCTAAACAACACACAAGCCTTCCTGTCCTCACTTACTGTCGGTGAGAGCATCAAATAAACGGTGTATGGTTGCTACATCCTTAACAATCCCGCACTCCTGGACGCAACGCACAAACTCGTCCTGAGGCAGTTGCTTTCGGGGAAGCTCAAACTTCTTGACATGGTCATCAGGCTGCACCAGTGGCTTCTCATTATCTGTCCTCACCTAATACATGAAAAAAAAGATAGAAAGACAAGATCACATCCATCCTCACAACTTAATCACCAACAGAGGTTACCACATCACCAAACAGACTACAAAAAATGTAGTCTGTCCTCCAACCATCACTTCTACAAGACGGGAACAATGATTGTGTGAACTCACTGACCTTGAGGATGAGTCTATTGAGCTCAGGTCGTCTGTCAGCTTGCTGCCTCTCATCTCGGTGCAGTGAGTCCATGAGCCATGTGACCAGCTGTGTGGGGAAGATGGCGGTGTCCGTCCTGTAGAGGTTCTGGAAATCACCCAGAGCATCCAGCCGCCGAAAACACAATGTGTTGATGAAACCACGCAAATAGTAGAATCTGCAGAGGAAAAAAATTATTATACTCAAGCCATAAGTCTTTGGAGTCAGCACCAGCAAGTTTCAACAAGAGGGGGGAAACAAGTGAAAGGAATGAACAAACAGAATGGCAACCAGGACAACGGCAAAACATTTGATTGTAAAATGAAGACATGAATGACAGGGTTGTTCCTGAAAGAATAACAAGAGGAGCCTATGGAATAATAAAAGCAGAATACCTGGCCAGCAGAGTAGGGTTCTCATTTTGGACAGAGAAGATGGCCATGCCAAGCTGCTGGATCAGCTCACTGTAATAACTTTGGACAGAGTGTGAGGACAGAGAAGCAGGGAAATCTGGGAGTTTGAACACCTTTACTGGCTTCAGAGGAGCTTTCAGCGCTAGGAGACAAATAGATAGGGAGCACAGGGAGAGAGAAAATACGAGAAACAGAAAAGTTAAATCTTTTCCAGCCACTTTCGCTACATCTCGACAGTTTGTGCCTCTGGTGTACTTAAATTTCCTCTCCAGTCTCACCGGCGTCAGATATCATGATTCTGTTCAGCAGGGTGTTTCTTTGGAAGCTGACAGTTTGGTCATCCCCGAGGTTAGGGAGGCTCATCCCCAGTCTCTTATTCAGCCTGTTCTCTATAACAGAGCTCTTTCTCTGGGATTGAATCTCCTGCATGGTGAGTCTGCGTGGGACTTCAACCATAGCCTTCATCCTAGATGACACGACAGAAAAGCTAAAATGAATGCAGACCTGCAATAAATCCTTAAAATTATACAATATAGTTTTATTTATCTCAGTACACACAGATGATTTGGTGAACTTTATGAATGTTATCAGTTGGTTTTAAGATAGGTTTAATAACTCACTTCTGCATTTCTGAACGAGTGCTGAGTTCCATTCGAGAGAAACTGTCCATTTTCCTGTTGAGACGATCCTTGAGGAAGGAATGGAAGATGTGCGTCTCCAACACCTGAAACACAGCCATGTTCATTTGAAGATAAGCACCTGGCTCAGCATCTCATGTCTGCTGCGAGATCTCAGTAAATATAATTTAATATAATTTGTTTTACCAAATGATTTAAAAGAAGTTACCTTCTTGTAAAAAAGCTGTTCAGCTGGCTCTCTGGTTTTCAGGAACTCTTCACTGTTAAACACCCGATGTTCATAGTTCAGATGACTGCTAACATCCCTGTTACATACAAAATGTATATATTAGGAATAGAAATATATATAAAATCTCACAAAAATGAGCACACACCTCAACATTTTTGTAAATATTTGATTATATCTTTTCATGTGACAACACTGAAGAAATGACTCTTTGCTACAATGTTAAGTAGTGAGTGTACAGCTGGTTAACAGTGTACATTTGCTTTCCCCTCAAAATAACATCACAAAGCCATTAATGTCTAAACTGCTGGTACCAAAAGTGAAAATGTCCAACTTGGGCCCAATTAGCCAGTAATCAAGGAAGTATTGAAGGAATCAAGGAAGGAATGATGGAAGAAAGGAATCAAGGCATCAGGGATGTAATGAAGGAAGGAAATGATCAAGGAAGTAAGGAAGGAAGGAAGGAATCAAGTAAGGAAAGAATAAGGGAATCAAGGAAGGAAGGAATAAAGGAAGGGAAGAATCAAGGAAGGATGTAATAGAGGAACTAAGGAGGGAAAGAATAAAGTAATCAAGGAAGGAAGAATCAAGTAATCAAGGAAGGCGAAAGAGGAACACTTGGTGAAGAGAGTGAGCCCCAGCTCCACTGGTGTTGTGCCGAGTTGTCTGCACCTCGCAGGACTTCCAGCGACGTGCATGTAATTGTCGGCAGCACGGCATGCACGCAAAACTCACACAAGACCAGTGAATGGCAGGCGAGAGAGAGAGAGAGAGAAAAGGGTCTTCAAAAAGACTCAGTTTAGCTGGAAATTTACAATGTCAGTTCAATGAATAGACTGCAGCTCTGCAGCAGCTTCTCAAGATTACAGCGGAGCTACCATGTGTAACCCCCCCCCCGCGCGCAAAAAAACACACATGATGCGACTACAGGCAGGACTTGACGATTGTGATTCGATCGTGATCTAAATCCATAGTCGGGGACAGCCCTAATATCTATACACACACACACACACACACACACACACACACACACACATATTTTTAGAGAGAGAGAGAGAAAAATGCCATAGAAAGCCATAGAAAAGGGTCGCCACAGACAGATTTGGCTACCACAAGAGGAGAGATTCTGCTTCCAGTGTGACAGGGGACAGGTAGAGACAGAACTGCACTTTCTAACCTCATCATCAACTGCCCCATATATAAAATCTTAGTGTTTTATATATGGGGCGGTTGATGATGAGGTTAGAAACACTTTGCAAACATTTCCCAAATATACCCCAAATTCAAGTCACAGAAACTCCCATATTTACTGGGAGAAATGCCCAAATGTGAAATAATTGCTGCAAAATATGTCTCCTCATGCCATGAAGTGAGGACAACCAATGGAACAAATTTGTACATTGTACAAATTTCCAAATTATTATTATTTTGATCGTTTGATATTTTAGTAATTGTTTTGATTTTACATTTGATACTGATTGCATTTTTTTATTTAATTATTATTTTTTAATCAATTAATTTTTCAAGTTTTTTGTCGATTAATATAGACACACGTTACTGTTTAAATTTATTTTAATTTTTAATAATTTTAATAAATCATAATTATAAATTATAAATTATAATTTTAAATTTTTAAAGAGAGAGAGGAGAACCATGCCATTAGATCTCAGCACACAAACAACACACATACAACCTGAATGTGTTGACAATCACTTCCAGTGTGATCCGCTGAATGTCGTGGTTGAGGTTGCGTTGCCACGCTCTTCTCTGTGCCCGCTGCTCACTGATGTCAGTGCAGCTTGCACGGTGACACTGATGCAGGTCAAAATGTATCTGTAGGGACAGACACCTGCAAAACCACACACATACTGTATAAACAAATAGAAACTTAGTTTGAGAAAAGGTTACTGGATCAGTAATGTTGTACATCTACTGTCCAAATACATATACATCTTTTTTGTTTATTTGTTTGTTTGTATCTGTATAGTACTAGTCAAAATTTGTAGTATTATTCTTGGCATTACAGTGAGTACCTTTGTGTGAAGCAGTGTGCAACAGCCGGGGGGATCTCTGGTAGGTCAACAGTCTCAGAACAAGAACTGGAGACACTTCCATTGTCAATGTTGATGAGGATCAGATCATCGGTTTCCTGAATGGAGGAAGATCAAGAATAAAAAAAATCCCTCCTGTTTTTGTTTGTACACTAGCTGATAAGTTTCAAGTGTAGAAAAAATAAATCATTTTTGTGATCTAGGAACATTTTGGCGGTCTCATTCTTCTAATAATCTAACCAAATCTGAAGCAGAAGGCTCACCTCTGTCCTGTCACTTTCATACTTTTCATCATAATGTCTGAATCAGAGATGGATATTTTGGATGAAAAAACTACCAGACACACCACACAGCATTCCAATTATCCCCTTAATATTTCCACTTTCCCTTTCTCTAAAACATGTTCTGTAGATTGTATACTCACAGCAGCAACCTCTTCAAAATGGCTGATATGGCAGCCCATGAGGAAGGCAGTAGGAGCCATGAGAAAGTCCAGCATGCCTCCAGCGAGGACAGGAACATATGGATGTTGCCATTTTAGAGGCTGAAAGAAAGAGGGAGGAATGATTCATCATTAGATCATTATTGTAATATTTACTGTATTGTGCTGAAACATTTTTTCACAATTTGCACAGGGAGTCCCTATTCCAAGGCTTCAAACTGCATCCCTACTCTTCACTTAAACAACGACATGTAGCATTGTGCTTTTAGGAGAAATGAAAGAAAAACCTCCATCCATCCATCATCAACCGCTTATCCTGCGTACAGGGTCGCAGGGGGGCTGAAGCCAATCCCAGCTGACATTGGGCGAAAGGCGGGGTACACCCTGGACAGGTCGCCAGTCCATCGCAGGGCAGAAAGAAAAACCTAATTTGATTTAATAGAAGTTATTATGATTTAACACTACCGTATTTTCAACTGACCTGTAGAAAAAGCAATAAGCTCTCAGCCACCAGTGTGAGTCTGGCCCAATCAGCAGAAAATAACACCACTCGCTGTTCCTGCAGGAGACAAGATAGCACCTACAGAGACGGGGACAGAAAAATGGACAAACAAAGAAAGAGACATGAGAGTTAACATGAGCCTCCTCCTGTTTCACTAACATTAACACACTGGATGTGTAATACCTTCAGGAGTTGCTGTGGCCTGAAGCAGAAGAAAGGCAGGTGGAGGTCTAAATCTATAGCTGGGTGGTCTTTGTCTTCTCTGGACGGTAATACAATGGTCAGAGGATGTAAGGTAAACATCTGTAAAACATACAAAGCGTTATTGTTTGGGTTCTTCTATCTTCGGTCTGGCAGCAGCACAGTCAAAGGATGCAGTATAAACAAATACACAGTATGTACACACATACATAATAGTGGTCTGTTATATCAGCAATATGAACCTGATAGCTCCTGGCTCATGATATTATGAATGAAACCATTTCCAGGACAGGTAACCACAGAGTGAAAGGAGCCTCACACCGTTACATTACAGTGTAATTAAGTCTAAATAACGTGTCAAAGTCTTTACATTACTTTAATACACACTGCACACATATACCAAATGTAGTTGTCCAGGAGGGGGGATAGGCACCAGTGCCAGTCTGGCTGCAAACTCCCTTACTTTCTCCTCCATGTCTGATAAATGACAAGTTCTTAGCTGGATTAACAGACTATCAAAGCAGAAAACAGAAACAGAAAACAGAAAAAGACAGAGGGATGAAGATACACAGGGAGATACAAGAATAATTTTCTTTTTATACATTCACTGGTGAAAACAATTAACGAGTGCAACAATGCCTGCAAAACTCGAGATAACCATTGTTTTGATTAAGTTATCAGACAAATGATTTTATTTACAGCTACTCTTAAAAACGATAAACCAATGTTACAGGTAAAACAGGTAATAAACGTTTGCTGTTATCCTAATGACAAGTACATCTTAGTAGAAGTAGAAGTATCTAAAGTGAACAAACAAAATCATACACTTGTAATATATGGTAAAGCAAAACATCCAGGCGGTTTGGTTTAGTACAATGTTTCTCACCATGACAGGCAGTCTCTGAGTGCAGTGAAGTAAGGATACTTGGATATGACACAAAAACTGTAGGCAGAGAAAAGTTTCGAAAACTTAAAGGACCCTTCCTGTATAAAAACAGGAAAGAAAGTGAACAGTGAATTGCTTTCATATAACTTTTATGTACATTTTCATGTAGGTGTGCTAGCTAACATGCTAATTGGTTAAGTTGGCACAGATTATGGCCACTGTATCTTAAATTGTTTTTTATCTGCATTAGGTTAGAGTTTCTGGTCCTAGCATTAAATAACAGCTGATATTTAGGTTAACTATATGTTAAGAAATTATATGTAGTAGTGTGTACCAGTATCGGTCGGTAACATTGCATCACTACTCCATGGGTCTTGTTGCCAAAGACATCAGTGAAAACCAGGAAGTGGAATTGTTCATCCTCCTGTTTATTGGTTACTTGGAGCCCCCCTGGTAAATAAGAAAAACCTATTAAAACATAAACATGATCTACTACAATTACAAGATATCAATTTTGCACTACTGTACGGCTGAATAACATGCAAGTAAAAAAGCATATATCTCAATTGTTGAACCTCTTTTCTCAATAATGACATTATGAAGCTGATTTTAGGGATGAAAGAAAATATTTACGTGTAGGACATTTTTTAAGGAATAATCTTAATGCAGATGTGACCAGGAAAAGACAACATTTATCACAATAACTAATTTCCATGTCTCAGGTCAAAATATCAATATTATAATCAAATATTGTCCAGCTTCAACTCTACGTATAGTGTATGGATCTGCTGTACATCATAGTGTTTTGTCAAGACTGAATAATCTATATGTTTTATCCTCATAACAGCAGCCATAAACTTGTCTCAATGGAGACGTGTTTCTCTCTGTGTGTGGGTGTGTGGGTGTGCGTGTCTGTGCAATACCCGGGAAGCAAAGCTGAGGTAAAGCCATAAGGTCGATATCTTTAGGAACAGTGACATCTTCACTTCCTCCTCTTCCGTCTGCTCCTCCACCTGAAAAAACACGAATGGCTCAATTAATATTAAACACTATCTCACACATTACTAATGATATAACATGGGTAAAATTAGGCCAGGGACAAATCAGAAACCTTGAGGGAAACAACATGTTTGTGGCTCCACAGATGTTTTTTATTTGAAAACAAAGACCTGTCGTGTGGCATGTGCGGATAGAAGTGCAAGACCGGACAAGCGGGTACCAGACCTTGGCTGGGCGTTGCTTCAGCTGAAGGAGTTAATTGTTCCCTCTTCTTCCTGAGAAAGGAGCACCGCCTCTTTCCTTGTGACCTCACTGCTTCACTCTCAGCTAGCGGTCTACTAACAAAGGGAGGCACCAGGACGTGCAGTACCTCGGGCTCCAACAGGAGGTGCTCTGGAGTTTCAGTATTGTTCATGGCCTGAGTGGGAGAGGATGGGAACTCTGTTACTATAATAGCTTTGATACATGTTACACATCACACATATTCTACATACATTACTGTGGCTCATGTAATGGAAGAAAAAAATTAAAACATTTGATTGTTCGAAAATCTGATCCTGAAACCCAGATGGCATCAACACCTGAAAAGAGTGGCATGGCTTTTACCATCAGAGAATCATAAGTATGTAGGTTTGCCTCTTAACTACTAGGTCACTAGGATGGCCAAATATTTTGCTTTTCTTGATACAAATATTAATTTAGTTTTGGAACTGGTCTGGTTAATAAAAATATAAAGGTAATATACCTGTGGGGGTTTACAGGTATTCACCAGACTCACAAATCATGACAGTAAAAAAATAAAACAAACATTTCCTTCATGGTATAAATATGTCAAAGCGTTTGTTATTAGGTTCTTTAGTGGAGTGGCAGTCCAACAACATAGAAGGGAGTATCAAGGCGCGTTTGGAGGCAAATACCTGGTAGACCTCCCTGAGTTTGTCACTAGATGCTCCTACCACAACACAGGCTTCCAGCAGAACGGGAGGCAGATGGTCCGCCATCATTGACCCCAGCCCAGGACCCAGTTGGACCATTAGAACTGGGCCAAGGGCCAACGCAGACCTGCTGGATCACAACCACTGAAAGTAACAAAGAAAGAAACAGAGACCTCAGCCAGAGAGAGTAGGAAGGGGTGCCAGAGAGTGACAAAGACTTTATATTTGTTTTGGCTGGTGTGTTAAAAAAGCAGACAGTTGTCACCGTTCTCTCATCTTCATTTTTATTTTTTTTGCACAAAAACAACATCTATCAGCTAAATAAAGTCACAACATATGACAGAGTAGTTGTTCCAGCTCATTATCACTGCTGCTGTTCTCATTAACAACAACTTCTAAAGACATTTTTTCCCACAACAGTATTATTCCAAGTTGCCCGGTATAGAAATAGCTTCTCCGTAAATTATTAAGGCTACAAGATTTCCACAGAACCAGAATCTGAGTTTCATTTGATTTTATTACATCAGAGATTACATGGGGCAGTCATTATATTTTCCACATTACTTCGCCCAGGAGTTACAGAGCATAATTCTGCAATGCACTACTTTTTACATGTCTCTCCAGGGCAGAAGTTGTCCAGTCTTCACTTTGTTTAACAAAGTGGGTAAAAAATCTTAAGCACTTAATATGTTTCCAAAGGGACATAAATGAAAGAAAATTAACTGGAAAACTCAACAGCAAAGTGCTTTTATGGGGCAAAGATATCCTAGGTACTCCATGGCTCAATCCACAATCCACAGATATACTGTATCTGCAACTGAATCATAAGTTTAACATCTCAAAACCCAAACAAATAAAATCAAAACTGCATGGCAAGATAACACTAGGAAAGGCATTATTTTCCTTTGTTATTACGTGTTTAATTTTTAATCCTCTTGCACAGATGTTTGGTCACGAAGTGACACTATTGAAAACCTAGCACTTTGCTATTCTGAAAAATGCTCCCTAAAATAACATTACCTGGGCAAGTCTGGTGTAGTTCTCAAATGTGACCAAAGGCAGACACTTTTAGTTAAAGCCCCTTGCAGTATCTGGTGTACACCCATTTTTGCCATGGCCCTAATGAGAAATGGACTCCCTCACACTGGCCCTAGTCCTGTGCTCTGAATCAAGTGTCTAATCAGGCTACAAGAAGTGAATGTAGCATTGTGACATTACAGCTAATTACTGAGACAGATAAAGCTGCTGGCTGGCTGCTCAGAAAGTCCTGTGAGGATATAAACACAAGCAGCTTGTATAACACACAGCCTCTATTTCACCAAGGTCTCTGCTGTGACTGTAGCCCCAGTTCAATACACATCGTCTGAACAGTGCAGAGGTCTCACGACAATTCTCGGATTAAAATTAATTAAATCAACAGAAACACTGAAGATATGCTATTTCCAGTCATGAAATGAGAAGATAATGGCAACATCCTGTGAGTAGAGAACTGTCCCTTTATGATGCCCAATAAGACTCTTAAATAAGATTCTAATACAATATAAGAAAATCAATGAATCAATTATAAATGCTTCCCAAAATGCCATATCGTTGCTATGACTTTTAGGGCAAACAATCACAAAGTTATAAAGAAACTCTTAAATCAGGGTTCGGACAAATGCTAAATGCACTTCATGACTTTTACTGTAGTATTATGTCTACACTGATCAATCTAAACTGGGTGAATCGGCCTCTGAAACAAAATATTGGTGACAGCAGATTGTCAACTTGTCATTTCAAGTTTGTGGCACCAGTTGCAGTATCCCTACAAATCCATACAACAACTTCGCAAAATAACTGAATTACTTAAACTGATTTAATCTATGTGGGACAGAAAACAGGATGTCGCTTTAATTAATATTTTTCACTGCAGATCCACATTTCATGTTAGTAGTTGTCCTTCTATTGTCTGCTGTTCTTTTTTTTTTTTCTTTTCTTTTTCACAGCTGAGTCACCACAGTGAGGAGCAAATTATTTCAGATCACATTTTCCCTGTTCCTTAGTCGTCTCTTCTTGGAAATTTAGGCTCAAATGTGTGCAGAGGGGGATGAACACATGCACAGAAAAAAAACACAGAAAATGACTTGTAACTGGGCCACATTGAACAGGCTGCATGGATGAAATGTTAACATCATGTCCACTGTAAAACAGCTGCATATGCAGACTTGTAGCAAGGTGCAAGAAACATCATAAGACTTTCCTTAAAAAATGCACTTTTTTGGTGAGGCCAAATAGTGCTCTACCTAGCAAATAAAGCATGTTTAAACATGTATGTTTTTATCCTTCTCCTTATTTTACTGTTAAAAGATTCTAAAACAATGCTGGACCATTGCAAATAACCATTTCAGCAGTGTAATACAGTTCACTCGTTTAAAATGAAATAATAACTAGTCATCAGCAGCAAGAATGTCCAGTGTAACTGAACTAATGTCCCATTAAAGAACATGTCACGTGACTAATAATAATCTATATATGTATATTTTTTTCTGAGAATATCATGGCACAGTTAGTAGCATGATTTCTGTCTACCAGACCTGAGATGTCTGACCTTTCAACAGGATTGAAATTCTGCTTCGCCTGAATCAAATGTGCCCTTAAAAGAAAACTAGTGTGAAGGGACAGAGCTGAGGAATGGGGAAATCGAATACAGACAAGCATACGCAAATATAAGCACACAGAAGGGTCTAAAAGAAACATCTGATCTTCAGTATCAATATAGATACTGTATAGTGGGCTATAATCACAGCTTTAAGTGGACTGAAGACACACTGTCTGATGTCTCCAAATTTCACATCATTCCTTTGATCTGCAAATCCAGACAATTTTATCAAACAGGTTGCTTTTCCGGTTTTTATCAAGGCTCTTACTGAACATGACTTTCTTTCACTTTCTTCCCTCCTTACACAACAATAATATGCTAACACAGCTAATGTGAAGCTCAGCTATAGAGGAAATACTGACTGACTTTTCCAGTTGTTACCTTAAGGAAAAGTTATAAATAGGTCACTGGCACAGAACAAGAAAATACTTGTATATGAGCCCGCTATAAGCTACTTTACCCCTTCAGAATCTAATATGTGAAGCTGATGTCAAGACCACTGCCACTGTTATGAGTTAAAGTAACAATGTTTGCATAATAAATGTCACAAAATAGCATTTTGCAGTCATATTTCTACGCATGCCTGCACACCATAAGGTCTAAACAGGATAAAAGTTTTGCACAGAATATAGCATTTCGCAAAGTTTTACAAATTCAATTTTGAAATTAGGATGAAACTGTAACTGCAGCTGTAACTCATGTGACGCGGAGTCAAGCCTGCTGGTCACCCTCGCGACTTGTCAACGTTATACTACTGTTAAAGTAAGACAAAAAAACCTCTTAAAATCCAATAATTAACCTGCAATTAAATTGTAGGCTTCTCTTTCAGGTCACGAACCTTCTCACAGGTGACCGTGCGGCTCCTCATTCATCCCCTCTTCACTTTTCATGACAGCAGTCTGGACCGCGAGTCACTCCAACTGCACAGCAAGCTCCTTCACTTCACCGACTGGCACTGAGCTAACTGTTCCCATGTTTACTATCAGTCTGCTTCCTGTTTCTCTGTGTGGAAGAACAAACATGCGCATTGATTTGAGGAAGCACAATGCAGTATCATATGATGCATGTTTATTTATAGAGTAATAAAAGACCTTGTAGCCTCCAAGATTTTGTAAAGTATAGGCTATGTCTTGTTCCATAATTTTCTTCTACAATGTCTTGCATAACTTGTACAGAGATCTAATATTTCAAACAAACATTATTGGAGCCAATGTGATATTTGTGTAATTGACTTACAAATAAAAACATTTTTAAGTCTCAATGTTCTGGTTGAATTTCCCGCTTAGGAGACGCCTACTCAAAATATCTGTGTGACGATCAAGGTGGATTTTCCATTTACAGTTCGCGTTTGTTCCTGTTGTAATAACTCATACTGGCCTGAGGATGGTGGTGGTTGACTAATTGAGCATTACATGCCTTCAGTCACTCCATGTTTACAGTCATGGTTCGAATTACGGGGGGGGATTTATGGCTTGGACCACCCAAAAGAGGCAAAAACAACAGTTCAGGAGGGTCTTTCTTCCCTGTCATTATAAATATTACAAAATATTTCCCATACTCATGCCTTATATTCACGATTCCAGAAATACGATTTCTGACACCCCTAAAATGGACCGTACCATTTCCTAACCTTGACGTTAGTTAGTTCATCGTCTTCTTCGTCCGCATCAGTCGCAGCAGTTGAGTGCATCACACGCTGTGGAGACGCTGTAAGTTAATGTCAGTAGCGCGCTGTCTAGCTGCTTTAATACACTCCACCTTCAGAGTTTTGTAATTAGCATTTATTTTACTTTAAATGCGCTATCTGATGTTAGCTGAGAGCCCATCCTGTCATTTCATTACTATTATATCATTTCATATTTTATGTAATTGTAAGCCAACACTTAAGCAAGAGCAGTGAAACTGAGGATTAGTTATTGTAGATACAGTTTGACAATCAATATAAAGTTCATTATTTCAGTATCTTTCTACAATAAGCACAATATTTGTTTTCACTGTGGAATTCTGGAGTTTTACCAGGCTAGGTAAATGTTAAAATCCAGGTTTGTTATTTCAAATGTATTCAGTTTTATCTATATAGCGCCAATTCATAACAAAAGGCTTCTCATTGCAGTTTTTATATAAAACAGGTCTAGACAGTACTCTGTTTAATATTATTTACAGAGACCAAAAATTCCCAATTCCCCAGCATGACAACTGTTTATTGTACGCAGATTACATTTCATTCTCATTCAACGTGAGCAGAAGGAAAGGTATTTATATTTATTATAAATTATAGGTATAGATATTTGCTAAAAACTTAAACTTAAAAGTTGAAATGATAAGAATTAGGAATTAGACATGGTAATGCAGACTGTATTTTATGATAGTGTCTTTGGTTCTGGTTTAACATTGTGTGGGTCTGTTTTGAGTGGTCTTGAAGGTCTGCTGTTGTGTGTCTGACCTGCTGGCAGTTTTGCTGTAGAATAGTGACCTCTGACTACAAACGTTGTCACGTGGTATGGGGCACCCATGCACTGGTGTAATGAATTTGATTTATCGTCATCATACCAATACCATCAAGATAAAAATGGACATTAGTTAAAATATTCCTTTTACTTAGACAATGATTACAAAATCGCATATGTTCACATAAGAATCAATGGAATGATGTGCAGAAATACCATGTGTAAGGGATAGTCAATAAAAACAGACACAAGTAAAGGTGCATTCATTGTATTTTTTTTTTTTCAAATAATTGGTACAAAAGAATACCTTTTTTTCATTGTACAAAAGTCTGTACAGAAGCAAAAAGAACCTAAAATCACCTAAAACACACCAGTAATTGACTTTCAAACCAAAATATCACCTTAAAAGTCTTAACATTTGTATAAAATCAAAGTAATTTCAGTAACCCAGTGGCCTGTTCCGATAAACTCTTAATCTTATTCAGTACAGCAGTTTGGCATAGAAAGGTTATTGGTCTGAGACATTTAGACCAACTAAAGTTAAATTTCTCATTGAACCAAACTAGAACAACTAAATAAATGTGAGAGTGACGGAGGCTGTAGAGAAAACAAGATGCTTTGGTTCACCCGTCCGTTTCTTTCTCACCCTCTGATAAACGTTTTTATGATTCCATGAAGAAATAGTCCTGTTATACTTTGATTTACAAATTTAAAAGATTTCTGTATTATGTGCTTATACTGCCTGGAAAACATAATATTAGCAAAAATGACCCTTAAAACTATCAAAATGTACCCTAACCTCATGTCAAAAGGTGCTTTGAAAAAACAGAAGCAATCTTTACAGGGAAAATAGTATTCCACAGAATGAGGGTGTTTCTTTTGTAGTGCTTGTAAATCAGGCTGTGTCCTGAAGTGACAACGATCACACTATAGAAGATACTTTTTTGTCATAAGACAAGGCAATGGCATAGCTAGCAGGATACAAGGTCCAAGCAAATACTGTTGGCATTGCTTAAACACCCATAAACAGGGTAAAGCAGTCTCTCAAAGGTGTAATAAGACATCTTGTCCTCAATCAGGTCATAAAAGTAGATCCTTTCATCCTGTGAAATAAAGAATCTGTGCAATCATTTCACTCATTGTATCCTCAGAGTTGAACAAATCATTTGAGGAGCAAAGTAAACTGAAAAGGTCCTGGGCTTCTTTACGGTTCATTTGGTCATAACATAATGCATAGATCAGTCACTGGCCTTGCATAGAAGTGGTCCTCTCTACCATTCAATATATGCAGCATTACAGGTGTCTGGAACAGTTTCAGACTATGTGACATTAAACCTCCCCAATTAACGAAGTGGTGCTCTTATTAGTAAACTTAAGGCTGCTCTAGGCATTTACACAAACTCTCATTTTCAAGAGAGAAGGAGAGATCAGGCTGTTAATTAATATTGTACATAAGTCTGTAGCTTATTACACTGTGTACACTGCACTAGGTTTGTGACACTTCCAATATGTTAAACTGTGGTAGGGACTATGCTAAACATAATGTTGCATTTAGCTTAAAGTTCACAATAGGTCTCCACAATAAGCTATTGATCCTTTCTGTACAGCAGGACAGAGCTGTGAAATGATCACAACAGCACACCAATTTGGCATCCAATAAAAAGTACAAACAGAAACTGCAATTATTTTACGATTTCTCAAAAGAAATCTTTTGTTTGACTGGATTTGACTGTCATGATGAACATAAACTCACTGTGAACTTGTTTACCATTACCATCGACTGTATTTGGAATGTATATTTCAAAACTCAAATTATTTCAATAGAAAGCGAATTGAATGCCACCCAAAATCCGCTTGAGGTAAAAAATTAGAGATACACTAATGATACACTGGCATAAAAAGATAATGTGGCATTCAGAATATTAGTGTATTTCTGTACACCAGAGGGAGAAAATAATCATAAAAGCGCACTTCTAACTGCACACTAGCTTGCTATGTCACCAGTACCAACATCACAACTGTGAATAAAATGACATGTGAAATGAAACAAACTGTTTTGTTATGTCTTCAACACATGTAGAAAGCTTGACCTGTGGGCTGGAAACTGTATTCAGTCCACAAGTATTGCAGACGTACACAAAGTAATACTTTGACAGCATTATGATTGTCCATTAAGCAGTTATGGAGCAGCTTCTGTGAAGTAGAATGTCAAATGTTAAGTGATTCAGCAGCTTACTTGTTTCAGTAGTCTGCGCAATGTGGCTCTTTCTGTTTTAATGGCTTACTTCTCTCCGTCTAACCATTCAAACATTTGTTTTACGATTGAGGTAGCAACAAGACAAGCAGAGAAGTACTTCTCATCAGTACTCTACTCCAAGAAGATAATCTATCCTAATCCATTCCACCCAGATTTCTGTAGATGGGATGTAAACTTTCAGTCACGTTTCCCCCTTTTTCGTCATCTTTCCTCCTTCAAAAAGACTAATTCAAATGCATCTGATTTACTAATTAGTAAATCAGATGCATTTGGTATAGTCCTTACATGTTGTAGCTTGGGCTTAGTGAGGCTAAACCTAAACAATTCTTTCTTTGTTAACGCTCAGGCAACAGAGTGATTCTCTGTCTTCTTTAAACTATCCCCATCTGTGAGGTTCAACAGGGCCAACCTCATGTCACTGGTCCTTTCTCCATTTGAGTCTGAATCTCCAGGTAAACCCACCAAGCCCTGGTCCTGCTCAGAGCTGCTGGGCTCAATGTCAGGATAAATTACAAGGAAACAGGCAGTTAGGAAGCCAAGGAAGGAGCCCCCAGAGGCCACTGCAGGAATGACACGCACACTGCCGACCACTTCTACCACAGCACCCAGACCTGACGCAACCAAAATCTGGCTGATGTAGACCTGGAAATGAAACAAAATAGAACGTCCCTATATTCTTGACACACTCTCATTGTTCAATTCCAAAATGGCACTTGAATGGATGCCGCTGGATCAGTTTAAGTTTAGAGCTAATGGGGAATTTTACTTGCGGTCTAAAAAGTAAAAAGGAATGAATGCTCACCTGGCAGGATAAGATAGCGCAGTCAATACCAAAGCCTCTTCTAGTGTTTGCTGGACTGTGATGAATGTACTGAGGAGAGGAACAGTAGAGGAGAGACTGTCACTTCAATCGCATATCCAATAGATTGTCTTTCTATGTGTGTAAAGTGCATGTTCCCATCTCAGGTTTTATTTTGTATCCCCACAGGCCTGTAATAAGAAGCAGGATTTGACATTAACAGTGTAGCTTCAGCTTTAACCCTTGTTTTTCAGTCCTGAAATGGTGGTTCGCTTCTTATCAGGGTAAGCAGGTTATATTTGAGAATGTCAAAAGAAATGGTTGAATTTTTCTTTATATGTTATATATTATGAGCATATAGTTTGGTAGGCCTATTTAAATTGTGTTTAATATGAGAATTTGTTTATCATAACTTTAGGTTGTGTTTGTTTCTCATATTACAGAAACTGGTAACATAGCACCGACCCTATTTGGGCACAAGTAAAGTTGATGAGTTTTCAGTAACTGTACCTGAAGTCGTGGTTGAGTCTTTCGACCATTATTCGAGCACTTTTGATTGCATGAACAGATTTTTTGTTTCGATGCCACGTGAAGTTAATTTAGAACAATTTTTGAACATTGTGTCAGTGTGTTAAATAAATGAATCGGACTTTTTGAAGTGATGAGAATTTCTTGAAAGTGAGTCTATAGACAGATCTTC